ACACACACACACACACACACACACACACACACGCCCAACATGAGTTTCAAGCCTCCAGGTTCGAGATTCAAACTGCAGTCGACCACGTGGGAGTCCAGCACTGTAACCATTACGCCAACTGCTGGTGTTCACAAATACTTTATTAATTATTAATTGCAATAACTGAAATATCTGAACTATTTTTATTAAAATGGGTATTATAAACAAATAAGTAGGAATACAGTGAGCAGAAGCATCTAAGAATTTAACATTCATTGTTTTGACCAGTCAAGATTTATTTGAAAGTTCATAACATGCAATTTGTTTGTTTCACTACCACTTGTGCTTTGAGGTTGGGAATGACAGCAAGCATTACCTTGTGGTTGTGCCTCTCATACATGAACCACAGCCACATTCACTGTAGTTTTGCTGTTTTCTATCCAAAGAGCATGGTAGAAAATATTGTATTTTTTTTAATTAGATGTCATAATAAACGTGTAAATTTATGAATTCTGAAAGTATTCAAGATATGCCTCAGAATGATAATGGTGCATTATTCTTATTAAATATTAAATCATACCTTTATGAATCCCAAGAATTAAGATATGTCACTGTCATACTCTCCAAAGTTTATTAATAATATTCATATATATATTACTTTCCATGAACGGTCAAGTATCTATTTAGCACATATGTTCTTAAACTTTAGCGTGCCTCAGAATGACCTGAAAGGGTTGTCAAAATACTTTGTTGAGCCCTACTTCCATAGTTTCTGATTCAATGGGTCTCATTTGCAATGGTAACCAAGTCTATAGGTGACTGGTGATACCGATCTAAGAACTATACTCTGAGAACATGTTTTTGAGGATTAGAGCTAAATTGCTTCAAATTCATGGAACTGTATGAGTCTGCACTCCTGCCATAAAAAAAATGTTTTTTGACTTTTTTTATGACCCAGTGGCAAAAATTATACATTAAAATTAATAAATAAGGCCAAAATAGCCATGATGTTTTCAAATAGATGCTATTTTGAAATAAAAATATTATACTAGAATTACTATATTGGGAAAATAAGTAGTTTTTCCTTACACTCAAACTAAACTGTGATCAATTTTTTTTTTAGTTTTGTTTGTTTGTTTTTGCTATAGGGCACATGCACTTGCCAGAGAGACAGAAAGCGAGAAATTAACCCCAAGGAATAATGGCCATGCTGCAATCCCCTCTCCTCCATTCTCCTCTCAGGATCTTGGGCACGCACGCACACGCGCCCGGCGTGAGTTTTAAGCCACCAGGTCCAGAACTTGAACTGTGGTCAACTATGTGGGAGTCCAGCAATGTAATCATTATGCCATCTGCTGGTCCCCATGAAAAAAATTTTAAATATGCTTATAAGTATTTGTTTTATAGATCTTACCACCATTACATTTTTTAAAGAATTCTTTATTTTATTTGTTGTTATTATTTTTTAATTTGACCAGTGCAAGACAGAGAAAGAAAGAAAAAGTGAGAAAGCAAACTGCCGGGTCCTAGACTCTAACTGCAGGCCACTATGTGGGAGTCCAGCACCCTTAACCATCACACCACCTGCTGACTCCACCACCATTACAATTAAATAATCAACTAATTACTTATTTAATGTCATTTTTTTCCCCAAATTTGATTTCTCCCACTTGCCTATAAGGAAGAATTACACTCTGCAGGGATTAGTGGGTGGCATGGTAGTTAAGGCACCGGACTTCCACATGGTCAATAGTCACTTTAGTCCTGGACTTGGCAGCTTACTTTCTCACTTTCTATCTCTCTCTGGTCAAATTTTAAAATAATAATAAATAAAATTAAATAATTCTTTTTAAAAAATTATACTTTACAGTTTATTTTTATAACCCTATTGCCCAACACAATGTCTAACATAATTATTTGGTCATAAATAGTTATTGAAGGGTTATTATTATAATCATTATTATTATTAAAGTCTATATATTGGGAGTACAAAAATTAATCACATATAACCCTTGTCCTCAAGCTACTCAAACACTACTGAGAGGGTAGAAATATATCAAATTTATCGTAAGGCAATATGGTACGTACTTTATAGTAATATGAACAAAGTGCTATAAGACAGATGAAAGGGCTGGTTAAAGCTACTAGGAGTAGGGACACAGTAGAAGGCTTCAACAAGGAGATGATAAATCTCAGTGTATAATGCATGTGCTATAATACCCCTATCACTAGTAACCGCATGTTCCCACAATGTTCTCTTTTTGGGGGGGAGAGAGAGAGATTTTTGCCATAGAGCGTGTGTGCTCACCCGAGAGAAACAGAATGCGAGAAATCACCCTGAGGGGATAGCCACACCACAAAATCCTCAGGACTTTGGGCACTCACACTCACGTGCCTGGCCCCACAATGTTCTCTTTTAAGCGTTACAAAAATGAAAAGTATTCTAACACAAAGTTTGACGTGCAAGGCTTAACAGTCTCTATAAAACAAGATGAGAACTTTTCTTTTTTATTTTTTTAAGATT